CTAATATTCTCCGCCTTCTTTCAATACTTAGCACCAGTTGAAGACAGCATGCCGTTTTGTTTAGGGTGCCATGCAAGGAGAGGCGTTTCTACACAATATTCGTTGTGTGTACAAGTATCAAAGTTTCAACATCGTTCACGCTCGATTTCCCACATTTATCTGATCCCACTTTCCTTCTCAAACATTTCAGCGCCTGATTCTATGTAGAGTGAGCCTACCCGACGTTGACGGCTATAAGGATTGTCCTTGGGACGCCATTCGGGAAGCCACCGTCGTGGTTAGTTCCCTTCTCTTTTGATGGCATGGATATCGGTGGTTGTTTTTAGACTTTCACAAATGTTACTTGAAGCCAATCATTTTTGAGGTATTCCGTATGGTTTTTGGAAGAAACAACTCTCCCCAGACAGATGTATTACTTACACTTCACAGTTTACAATGCTTAGAACATGCACTCCGCATACGAGACAACCATGTAGCCCGCAGAGCACTTTTCATTTAGCTTTCTTGTGAGGGAAAGCGGCCTAGAGGTAAACAGAGTATGGTCTGGCAACGAAATATGAAAACACTGACCACTAAATGGATTCAACCTGATAATTGCTGCTTCCCGGGACTGTACTCACTAATGGTTATTGGCCATGACAGCAATGGCCTAACTGCGCAGTCAGTGGCACAGGCAGTGGATAAAGTATAGGTATTCAATTTTCGAACAAACTGGCCATGCCATCGCCTCCACTTCTTCGCTGTATTTCTCACTTTCCGGTGATCGGAAACCTGGTAGCTTTGACCGATGTATCCTTGGTACAAAAGTTACAGCTGCTGAGTTGATTGAATCCAATTTTCTAATCATTTTACTAACTATAAAAGTAGGATTGCCATGAATACAAGAGTGCAGCGCATAATTTTGTGGAGAATGAATGAGAAGCTTGGATGGAGGTGGGAACCTTTGGAGTACTAAACTCTGGAAATTCCTACTTAACAAGATATACGAGTTTTATGAACATCTTGTTGGCCCTTTGATCTCACACACGTAAGTTGGCGTTCTGAGAATTTCATCCGACAACTCAGTCGAGAGCTTCTGGCAGCTTCTGGCTTATTTCACAAGCGGTCCTTGGCATTCACTATTTCCGGGCTTTATGCTTCTCCAAATAAGCATTGTTT